TACGTAATAGTGTTTACGTACCCCTATGTAATCCGCAGCATCCGCACATTCCCGCAAGTGTGCGGATCATTTACGTATCTAACGTATCCTGCGGATGAGTTTTACGTATCTTACGTATGAGTTACGTATTTTACGTATGGATAACGTATATTCTGCGGATGCTTACGTATATTTCATCCGCAGCAAAATTTTGAGATTTTCAAAATTCCGCTGCGGATCTGCGTATGTCTGCGGATCCTGCGGATTGAATTACGGATGGATACGGATGCTTACGGATGATACGGATCCTTGCGGATGCTTACGGACTTTTATCCGTAAGCATCCGCAGCTACCGTAAGTGGCCGTGTGACTGTGCCATAAGGCTTCACGTGTTTCTGTGACGCGATAATTTCGTGTATGAAGATGTAATTTCATAACCAAACAAACACGGGAGTATTAGGTTTACAAACCATGGTCTCCAAGGTAGGGATAATCACGTTATTATAATGGTGATATTGCAGTGACAATTGCGTGATTTAGTGTACGTGTGTTTTAAGTTACCTAATGCAAAAACGTATTAACACATTTACGTAAATGTCCGGTGTTTGAAGAACGTACTCTCCTCAAGTCGATACCTTGATATTGACGTGATTTTCACGAGATTTTGTTTATTGGGTGGCAAGTATAAACGCTCGCAGTTGTAACATCGCGATGTTAGGTAAAGTGACTTGAGGAGCGGGGCTAGATGTCGTCCTTTTGAAGACAATGATAGAACGATTAATACAAAGAATAACATAAGAGAAGGTGACAGAAGGAAGAAACTAAGAATAACATAAGGATAGACAGAAAGAGAAAGTGATAGAAGGAAGAAACAAAGAATAACATAAGGATAGACAGAAAGAGAAAGTAATAGAAGGAAGAACAAAGAATAACATAAGGAAAGACAGAAAGAGAAAGTGATAGAATGATTAAAAAACAAAGAATAACATAAGAGAAGGTGATAAAAGGAAGAAATAAAGAATAACATAAGGAAAGACAGAAAGAGAAAGTGATAGAAGGAAGAAACAAAGAATAACATAAGGAAAGACAGAAAGAGAAAGTGATAGAAGGACGAAATAAAGAATAACATAAGGAAAGACAGAAACAGAAAGTGATAGAAGGAAGAAATAAAGAATAACATAAGGAAAGTGATAAAAGGAAGAAATAAAGAATAACATAAGGAAAGACAGAAAGAGAAAGTGATATAAGGAAGAAACAAAGAATAACATAAGACAAGGTGATAGAAGGAAGAAACGAAGAATAACATAAGGAAGGACAGAAAGCGAAGGTGATAGAAGGAAGAAACAAAGAATAACATAAGGAAAGACAGAAAGAGAAGGTGATAGAAGGAAGAAACAAAGAATAACATAAGGAAACACAGAAAGAGGGAGTGATAGAATGATAAAAAAACAAAGAATAACATAAGAGAAGGTGATAGAAGGAAGAAACAAAGAATAACATAAGGAAACACAGAAAGAGGGAGTGGTAGAATGATAAAAAACAAAGAATAACATAAGAGAAGGTGATAGAAGGAAGAAACAAAGAATAACATAAGGAACACAGAAAGAGGGAGTGGTAGAATGATAAAAAAACAAAGAATAACATAAGAGAAGGTGATAGAAGGAAGAAACAAGAATAACATAAGGAACACAGAAGAGGGAGTGGTAGAATGATAAAAAACAAAGAATAACATAAGAGAAGGTGAAAAAAGAAAAATAAAGAATAACATAA